GGGTCCAAGGCATTGCTCAGAGAGGCTAACGGGTCAATGAAGCCTTTCAGTCGTCAGCTGTCCTAAGCTGCAGCTAGCCGTGGTGTGCACAGGTGCGGAAACTTACCGCTCCGCTCCCCTCGACAGTTTCCCGAGCCACACGGCGGCTCGCGGCGTCCGAGCTGCCAACCCTGGAGTGGCGTGGCGCTCGGGTTTCTATCGGGACTTGCCGGGATGGCCTCCACCGCGTCAACTTCTCACTGAACCCCGCGCGCACACTGACCTGGCGCCTTCGCCCAGCTCCCCGTGCGTGTTGTAGTTCACGGTCATGACCTTCACCGATTCCTTGAATATCACGTCCCCGCGGCTCAAGTACTGCAGCGTGCGGCGGATCGGGAAGCGACCCTTCATAGGCATGGCGGCGACAGCAGCTTCTCAAGCTGCGGACCCGCGCGTCTCCACGACGCGCAGAATCTCGGGAGACACCTCCCGGCAGGCCACACAGCCGCGAGGCAGCCTGGGACTTGTAGTCTCGGCACTGGGTCTCAAACGCTCCTGCGCTGCAAGTCAACTGGTCATTTTGCTCTTACAGAAACCAAGTGTCCTCTCACCAGATCTCCGGTTCTGAAGAGCTCGACCGAGATGTCGCTATTGAGGCAATAAAAAACTTAAAAAAACAAAAACTGATTTTCGGGGCTGGAGAAATGGCTCAGTGGGCACGGGCTACTCTTCTAAAGGTTCTGAGTTCAATTCCCAGCAACCACATGGTAGCTCACAACCATCTATAATAGGATCTGATGCCTTCTTCTGGCCCGCAGAACACTCGTCCATAAAATATAAGTAAATAAAAATTAAAAAAAAACGTATTTGCAGAGTAGGAAAGAACGTGACTTGCTCTGGCGCAGCAGGTCGGCTCTGAAGGACCCTGCTCGGAAGAAGAGTCTTTCTTATTTGCTTGTGAAGAAGAGTCTCTGTGACAGATACTGCGCTGTAGGACGGCTAGTCAACAATATGTCACGCAAGCTGTAATTTTTTAAAGATTTTTATCTTATCTGTGTGTTCTGTCTGTGCATTATGTGAGTGCTATGCCCGCCGAGGCCAGAAGGGGGCGTCGGGTCCCCTGAAACTGGCGTGACACACTGCTGTGTGCGGTCATGTGGAAGCTGGAAACTGAATGCTGGTCCTGTGCAAGAGCAGCAAGTGCACTTAACTGCTGAGCCATCCCTCCAGTAGTCCTGCACACTGTGGTTTTACTGTAATTTTTATCATTGTTCATAGGTGAAATGGGTTTTTCTTCAGGCTTCCCAGGATTTTTCCTTTGTGCTTAGTTTATGTAGTTTCATGTATGCAGATAGTTTCAGATAGTTTTAGTATTTGCCCTGCTTTGTGTTCTTTGAGCTTCCTGGTTATTTGGCTTTGAGTGTGGTTGGTGTGGTTGAGACTGGACCTCGGTGTAGCCCAGGTTGGGCTTGAAGCCCTGATCCTCCTGTCTCTGTAGATTCCCAAGTGCTGGGATTATAGGCATGTGTTTTACATGTTTTAATAAAAACTCTCCTGCCCCACCACCTGATGCTGCAACGATGAACGGCACACTTACTGAAAGTGAAAGTATTTATTGTTGAAATTACTCACAAGAGACAAACAAGTAACCCAGATGAGCCGAGTAGTTTTCCACCACCGAACTGGAAGCCAGAAGTGTTCAGTTCTATTTCTACCTCTCTCCTTGAGACAGGTTTTTCACTGATCCTGGAACTAGGTTGCTAGGTTGGTGGCCAGAAGCACCAGCAATTGGGATTATAACTCATGCTTCTGGGGTTACAAGCACAACTGACCTCGCCTGGATTTTTACATGGGTGCTCGGCTCCAAACTCAGGCCCTCAGGTTTGTGGAGCAGGCATTCTTACCCACTGAGCCATCTCCGCAGCTCCCAGCTGTTTGTTTTAGACTTACTTACGTGGAATGTTTTGCCTGCATGTGTGTAGGTGCATCACTGATAAGCTTCAGTCAGGACTCCACCGTTAGGTCTTGTCCGAAGAGGAAAAAGGTAAACTTCCTGAGCGTACTGCCAGAGGGCAGCAGGCACGGGGAACCGCCTGCCATCCAACTGTTCTCACATGTTGTTTGATTGGTTGCTGTAATGCACAGCTTGCAGTTCAGTTTCTTGTCTGGTGATTCCAATGTGAGTGTAGTTGTGTTGCTTGCTCACATTTTAGGATGCTTGTAAGTAAGGTTCCTACTTCCAGGGTGAAGACTGTTTGCTGTAGCTATAGTGTCCAGAGCTTGGAGTTCCTGGCTCTGCAGTCTCTTGCTGCTCTGATCCTACTATCTATCCTGGATCCTTGGGGGAAATATGAAGTACAGAAGGATGTGTTCTATGATCTTAGGATTAACTTTGAGGCCATGGCTGTCACACATTTCTTAATTCCCTTCTTCGCCTTCAGACAAAGGCTGCAAGGGACTGGAGTGGTAGCATTACATTTGTCCCAAATGAGTAAGTTTGGTGAAATTTCTCCATTTGCACAAGCCTTTGCTAGGAGACTCTGGTGACAAAGAACTTTCCCTTCCTCTGCCATAGCTATAGGAGCTTTCTCGGTGCCTCACCACTAGAACTAATAGGAGCAGCCTTTTCAGGAAGAAAGGAAGGCCTCACTGTGCCTGGTAGACAAGTCAGCCTCCAGGGCTTGTCAAGGCTATCTGCCAGGCTTGGTCAGTGCAGACATGTGATCCCAGCAACTCTGGAGATGGAGGCACAGGATCATAAGTTCAAGGCCTGCATGGGTACAAAGTGAATTCGAAGCCAGCTCAGGGAACTTAGCAAGATCCTGCCTGGAAAATAAGAGTTAGTAGTAGTAGAGCACATGCCTGGTGTGCACAAGGCCCTATCTTCAATCACAGCCCTGCAACAACAAACAAAAAAGCTACTGCTGGCAATCCTACCAGTCATGGCTTCTGCTGCAATCATCAGAGCTTGGCTGACCCTGAACTCACCACTCCACATGTTGGGAGGACATTAAGCCCTGCAAAAATCAGTCCCCTAATGGTCCCAAGAAAGGCTACTGGTTTCCATTCTGTCCAGCTGCTGCTTTTTTTTTTTCCTGGTTTTTCCAGACAGAGTTTCTCTGTGGCTTTGGAGGCTGTCCTGGAACTAGCTCTTGTAGACCAGGCTGACCTCGAACTCACAGAGATCCATCTGCCTCTGCCTCCCGAGTGCTGGGACTAAAGACATGCGCCACCACCGCCTGGCCCTTTTTAATTTGTTAATTTATTGCTGCTTCTTCTAAGAAGCTAAAATCAGAAGTGCTAACCTAAAATTCTACAGTGATTAAAACTCTGCTAGGCTCCTGAGGAGACTTCAGGTCTAGTCACAGACGACATTGCAGCCACAGGAAAATCCTGTGTCCCACACACATGGCTTGAGGTCCTGAATCAGACAGCCCTGGGCAGGGTCCCAGAGGGACAACACTGAGCAAGTTGAGTGTTGTTACCACTTCCTTTGCTTGTTAGCTGAAAGATTCAATAAGATGGCCCTTAATTATACTGAGCTCTGGCCCACAGTGAACACTGGATACAAAAACCCCTCAGCAGGCTCCAGGCCCAGATGAAGTCACTGTATAAAGTACCCAACTTCTTTCTAGATTGCTCATATGCTCTTTTTGGTCAGCATAGTAGCAGAGCCCTCCTCCACCATTCCTGAGGCAACATAAACCCTCCTTGGTACTGATGGCCAAGTGAGTCATGAGTTTCCACTTTGTCAAGTAACACAAAGGCCTGCTGGCAGAGCTGGGATAAGTGGGAAACGTGCCTTCCAGTGGAGGTCCCAGGTCCCCCACCCCTGAGCCTGCTGTTTCTGGTGTAAAGTGGGACAGGACTGCAAAGGGTCCTTAGTTTGTTAGAAGGGGACAGAGACAAAGCTTTTAAGAGAAAAGCCAGCTTCACAGGACTACCAGAAATCCTCAGTTTCTGTGGGAAGGGAATGGTAGGACTGGGCGGGATCTGGGCTGTGTTTGGGTAAAACAGCTCCTTTAATGCTTACTTTGCAACACAAGGACCTGAGCTTGAGTCTCAGAACCCACAAATGTGTTGATTGTGGTTATATGCATTTGTAATCCCAGGCTGAAGAGGGGAAGACAAGAGGACCCCTGGGATGCTGGCCAGCCAATCTAGCCAAAGCGAGAGCGTTAGGATGAGAAACTGACTAAAAGGTGGACGGCTTTCTAAGGCAAATATCCAAGGTTATCCTCTGGCCTCCATGTACACATGCAAACATTACACACACACACACACACACACACACACACACACACACACTACAAAAGGGGGATTGTGGTGATACAATATTTATGATTTATTAAAGCTTGCCTGATGATACAGAAAGCAAAGCTAGCCATAAGCCACAGAGCCAGGTAATGGTGAGACACATCTTTAATCCCAGCTGCTATACTAGCAAGCCACAGAGCCAGGCAGTGGTGGCACACACCTTTAATCCCAGGACTCAGGAGATAGGCAGATGGATCTCTGTTAGTTCAAGGCCACCCTGAGCTACATGAAATTGATCCAGTATTAAAAAGAAACAATTCACACAAATGTGATCTCAGCACTTGAGATCACACACTTTTTTTTTGTAAGAAGTTTTATTAGAAAGGGAAGGGGGGAAGGAAAGAGAAAAGAGGTAAAGAGACAGAGAAAGGACAGAAGAAGGAGACAGGAAAAGTCCTGTCTGCCCCAGGGGAACAGTAGGAATGAGATGAGATCACACACTTAATTCCAGGATTTGAGAGGTATAAAAGAAGAAACAAACTCAGTCTCAGAGATTTATTCTCCAGTCACCCTGAGAAGAGGACAGCCCTTCAGCCTGAAGTAGAGGTAAGAGCTAGTGGCTGGCTGGCTGCTTTGCTTATCTGACTCTCAGACAAGCTTTAATAAATCATAAATAATATATCACTACAAAGGATGGAGGCATGTTTTAAGAACACATACCCCCAGTCACAAGCACGTTATTTTTAATAAAAGACTCACATACATGTTATTTTATTTTTTTAATAAAAGCCTCTGATACAAGGCCCCAGTGTAGTGCATGCGCCTCAATGACCATCGAGCTGACAGCCACCATGATAATCAACACACCTGTTCCTCCAGTCTGACCTAGAACAGAGACCGACTCCTCCATGTGAATTAAAGGCCTAGCTGGGCCACATGGCTCATGATGCCTCAGAAGGACGTTTTAGCATCTGACAACAAAGACATGATGAGCAGTAAGTACAGTGAGTGAGGCTCCAGTTCCTTAGTGTGTTAGAAGGGGCCTGCCAAGGACGTGCTCCTTCACTGAGCAGGGGGAGCTGTTTCCCCTGAAGTACCTGTGCAATCATCAAGTGCTCACACAAGGCACGCTGTGTAGTTACACTCACAGGTCAAACCCCTCTGCAAACCAACCTTGACCTACATAAATTCTAGGAAGTGATACAGCCAAAGGGTAGACAAGTCTCCCCTGCCATGTCCTACTTACAGAGTATGGTCAAAGAGGAATTCAATGAGAAACTCAGTGAAACCTCTGGGGTCTGTTTACTTGGTTTAATACTCAGTGAATTGAGATTTAAAAAATAGTTGCTAGAAGCATTTGCTTTCTCCATGCTCTCAGTCACAGACTGCTACCTGGAGGTGAGTTCAGTAAAGGAGTATATTTAGTGAGTCACCAGCTAATTAAGAAAAGCAATGTTGCCGGGCAATGGTGGTGCATGCCTTTAATCCCAGCACTCTGGAGGCAGAGGCAGATGGATCTCTGTGAGTTCGAGACCAGCCTGGTCTACAAGAGCTAGTTCCAGGACAGCCTCCAAAGCCACAGAGAAACTCCGCCTCAAAAAACAAAAACAAAAACAAAAAACAAACAAAAAAAAAAAAAACAAAAAAAAAAAAGAAATGTCTATAGCCATACCACCCTGAACACCTGACCTATGTCAGGAAGAGTGGCTGTGGGAACCAGTATTCAGCTTCATTCTGTGTAGAGCTGCCTCCTCTTCCACGAGACAAAAGGCAGTCCAAGCAGGGTGGATATGCTGGGCATGTCTGGAACCCTAGAGAGAAGAGGCCTGTCCCAGGAAACGTGAATGCCAGGCTGCCCATCTCCAGTCCATGACACCACCAGAGCTGGCAACTGACTAGTACTGGTAATACACTCATAGGTCAGTAAACATCTGCTGACCGAACCCAAAGGGCTCTCCATTACCCTTCCTCTCCAACCCGCCTCACAGCCCGAGACAGGTCTTCCTACCCAGTCAAAGTCCCAACAGGTATTAATGAACAGCTGCTGAAATAGATCTTTGCACCAGATGCCATTCTTACCACCAAGATGGATCTTCGCCAGAATGTGACAAAAGAATTTCAGCCTATCCACCAATAACCAACAGAAGTCACGGCTCAGGGTAAAGTGACTAGAGGTCAGTTATTGTCCATCAGCTAAAGTGACTAGTGGTCAGTTACTGTCCATTAACTAAAGAGCATCACTGAGGAGATTACACAGAGCTGAGCACACCAGGATCTTACAATGTCATCTATCAACCCATCGGTTTCTCTAAACAAAAGCACTAAGCTATATAACTTCCCTTTCTGTCCCTATCAGAGTTCAAGTGCTTCAGGACTATGGAATGATCTGAGGCTGTGCATCAAATATTTCTCTTTCTCAGTACTCAAAGTAGTAAGAAAACACCTCACCAGTTTCCCAGGTCAGGAGGAACCACAGTGAAGGCTGACTGGAGAGCCTTTGAAGTTATTAGAGTTTATTTCCTGACTCAAAAGTGTTCCATCTGCTGCCGATACTCCACAGAAGCTTCCTGGTCAGATTCCCAAATCACACCACAGGCCCTTCAATGTGACCTAGAGAGTGGCCATTCTCCCAAACCATAACAATCACCAAAAAGCTGATCACTCATGCCTCATAATCAAGCTCACATTGACACCCTGCACTTGGAAACTTTACTTCCTTTAACTGGGAGGGGACAACACTGGCAACATCTCCACCATCCATAAAGAGGCACTAGTCCCCCTGGGTCCCTTCATAGCAGCCATCTCCCTAAGTGTCCAGGAGACAGCCCAAGGAGGGAGGTGGTGAATGGGAGCAGCCAAATAGAGAAAGACTTCTGCCAGAGCCCCTACCTATCTGTCTTGGCACAGGAAGGGGCCCGTGATAGTATAATACTGCATCAAGACCAAGAATAGTCAGCAGGATCAAGAGGTGTCCAGAAGCCATTCTGCCTTGGCCCAACAGAGATGCACTGAGTTGTATCTCAGAAATAAAATGGTAAAGTCCCCTGAAAAGGGAAAACTCCGTTAAAAAAAATAATACAGAAAAAAACCAGCAAACCAGTGCCGATTTGTTTTCTGTTCTTATTCAACTATAGTGGAAATGCCTCAAAGTGTACAGCAAGAGACTATTGTTCTCACCCCTTACTATGTGCATCAGATGTCCACCTACCTCCACCCCACCTTGGTACCCTGCTGCCCGGTCCCTGCCCACTGCTGTCAGTTAGGGGCCCCCTTCTGCTTAGCCAGGGTACACTTCAGCTCCCGAAGGTTCTCTGTCAGCACCTCAACCTCGTCCATTCGGCCACATTGCTTGGCGTCAAAGATGTAAGCCTTGATGTTGTCAATCTGCTGCAGGAGCAGCTCCTCCTCAATGTGCTCCTCAGCCTCTGTGCCACTGTCGCTGTCCACCTCGAAAGGGTTGGTGCAGGGGCACTCCTCAAAAGGGTTTCCAGGGGCAGATGGGCTGGCAGGCCTGGGACGGTCATCCTCATCAAAGGGGTTGGGTGCTGGACTGTTTGGGTCAGTGAAGGGATTCCCTGCCCCCAACTCTCCTGCCTCCTCTTCCTCAGCATCTTCCTCAAAAGGATTGTATTCTCTGGTGACAGGAGCTGAAGGGCCCAGGAAAGCCTCTGCAGCAGCAGGGCTGGCTTCTGCAGGGTTGGAGAGGTCTTCTTCATCAAACGGGTTGAGAGAGGTCTTATCACTTTGTTGTGACACGGTGTTCTGGAGGAATAGTTCCTGGCCAAGGGCTGGGGGCCCAGACCACAAGTGGATGGGTGCTAGAGTTGAGGCAGGTGAAAGGGTATTGGGAACAGTGCTGCTCTGAACTGGGGAGGAGTCCTGATCCAAGGCATAGGTAAGATCACTGTGAGGCCCTCGGCTGGGCTCCAACTGGAAGGGGATGACTTCTCGGAGATCTAGAGCACGAGTTCGTGTGTGCAGGGATGCCGCCAGGAACTGCTCCTGTTCTCGCTCCAGCTCCCGCCTGCGGAGCATCTGCAGTTGCTCTCGCTGCAGCTCCTCCTCCTCAGCCTGCCTCCGGGACAGCTCAATGGCCTTCTCAGTCTGCTGCTGGTCATACTCATCCTGCAGCTGCCTCAGGTTCTCTTGAAGTGTGCGCACCTCATCTGTGCGACCTGCAGCCTTGGCCTGCCTGATGAAGGATGTGATATTGTAGATTTGCTGGAGGAGAGGGTCAGGGTCTTCACTCTGCCCCTGACCTTCTGACAGTGGAAGCCAGCCCTCAGCTTTTCGCAAGGGGGCAGGGATGCCTCGGAGAGACCTCGCTTCCCCATTGGCTGCAAAACCAATCTGGCTTTCCTCGAGTTTCCTCCGGGACTCCAGAGCAGCCTGCAGAGACAACACACACCACCAGGGTCACCATGGTCACCAGGCCAGCAGTCCTCCCTTTCTGCCACCCTCCATGGTCCCCACAACACTAAGATAACTCAACTGCTGAAACAAGGTAGTCACAGAAGGGCAGGCTTAGATTTTCACAACTAAAACACATATTCAGACAATTTCTTCAAACTTAGTTTTTCACTGGTTGTACACTTTTCTTAAACTTCCAAAAGACTGCCCCCTTATCTACATAAAGGTTAGCATTTCAGATGATACTAAAGTTTTATGTTTTCATTTTGTTTTTTGTGGTGCTGGAGATGGGAACCCAGGGCCTCAAGCATACTGAGCAAGCATTCTATCACCAAACTATGAAACAGCACCCTCGTTTTTTTTTTTTTTTTTTTTTTTTGTAAATGACATGGCCTCACTAGGTAGCCCAGGCTGGTCTGGAATCCAGGCATGCACCACCACACCTACTATATTCTGTTTAGCAGTATACATTCCAAGGTCTTCTGGAACTTGCCTGCAAGCCTACCAAAGGGAAAATTGTCAATCCCTGTGGTGGTCTAGGCAGGAGAGCATCAGCAGGAAAAACAACTACTTTTCTAGGGCTAAAACAGAAGCCAGCTTGAGAGAGACTCAGCAGCAGAGGGGTGGGGTATGACAGCAGGGAGACAATAGCTACTGGGTGCCTGGGTGCCATGCACCTGTCTCTCCATGGTCCTCCTCTGTTCCAAGTCCTGATTCCTTTTCTTTTTCAGTTCTTCAAACTGTTCTTTGGTTGGCAGTGACATCAAACCCAATAACTTTTCCTGTAAGAGAATAATAGACAATTTTACATTTAAGTGGTTTTTTTTGGGGGGGGGGTCATGACAGGGGCTGGGCCTTAAGCCTTATACACTTAAGCTAAGACACTCCACCCACTGACAGGAAGGACATTCTTGTTAGTGGACCTGACTTTTCCTTATGAGATGGCCACATCAGATTTCCAGGTTTCTAGATTCTAGCACTCCCCCAACCCTTTGTGCTTAATTACCACCCTCAGATCTCTTCCTAGTATTTCATACTCTCAAACACATCATGTTTTAGTAATTTGTTGTGGATTCCATGCTATGTAACCACATCCTACTAATAGAAATATTCCCTCCTGGAGGACTTTTAAGCTGGAGCCTCAAGTCATGAAACTGACAAGACTCAGGAAACTCATGAAACTTCTAGGACTCCTGGCCTTACTCAGATAATCTGAGCAGGAAACCATGCCAGTGAGAGGATTCTTACTAGAGATCCTTCAAACAAGTCATCTAGGGGCTCCAACGATGCAGGGGACATCAGAGGTAGAAAAATGCAACTCAGATTTAGTCACCTAGGTTTAGTCTACTCTTGAACCATTAGCCAATGGCCAGAAAGAGTCCCTGAGGAAGAAACATGACTTACCACTAATAGCAAAAACTTAGAATTCATCAACTCTCCCAATGAATGGTTCAACAAAGGAGAGCAGAGTCAAAGTAGTATTCCATGGCCAACAAAGCACAGAAAATTCAGTGATTAAAATGATATAAATCGCTGGGCAGTGGTGGCGCACATCTTAAATCTCAGCACTTGGGAGGCAGAGGCAGGTAGATCTCTGTGAGTTCAAGACCAGGTTGGTCTACAAGAGCTAGTTCCAGGACAGGCTCCAAAGCTACAGAGAAACCCTGCCTCAAAAAACAAACAAGCAACAAGAAAAAAAAAAAAACAGACAAACAAAAAAGATACAAATCTGCAGATATGTAAGGAAGGGTTGATCCTCCTTGTCCACTTGAATGGGTTTAGAATTGAAACACACCTTTGGTGTGGGTGGCGCTGTTCTATGAGCTGGGCTCCCACAATGAATAACAGAAGAGCTAGCTGATCATCAGCATTCATCTGTCTCTGTTTGCTGACTCAGATACAATGTAACCAGCTGCTTCAAGCTCCTGTCACCATGACCACCCCACCTTGACAGATTTCAAACTGTGACCCAAATAAAGTCTTCCTTAAGTTCAAAGTATTTTATCATAGCAATGAGAAAACTAATGCAATGAACTAATTATAAATATAGAGAAATAGAATTAAGAAAGAAAATATAACAGAATGGAGAACAACTGTATTGGAGACATAGGATTAAAAGCTATTTTAAACACAAGACCTGGGGCTGCAGAAATGGCTCAGGAGTAAAGAGGACCTGAATTTGCTTCCCAGCTCCAACATCAGTTATTCCAACTGTCTGTCACTCCAGATCCAGGGGATCCAATGCCCTCTCTGGACTCTGCAGCACTTGCACTTACATGTATAACAACCCACATGCAGACACACACATAAACAATCTAAAAGAAAATCTAAAACACAAAACAGCACTAGATACACACACACACACACACACACACACACACACACACGATAGATGAATAGATGGACAGACAGACAGACAGACAGACAGACAGACAGACAGACAAAGATGGCATGAAGCAGGAGGGAGACTAGCTAGGATGAAGTTGTCAGCAGGAGTGAAGGGATAGAGAGTGGGTAATGGGGGTGATTATAACCACAATAACTGTATGTATGTATGTATGAAGTTGTCAAAATGTTTAATAACTTTTAAAAAGTATCTTTACTTTTACTCGGGTTTTATCTTTTTCTCCAAATGTGGCATTCATAATTTTAAGGAATAATAAATGTAACAACAGAAAACAAGCAAGCCACACACTTAATGTCACACCCCAGCATGGCTTTACCTGCACAAATAGTGTAGCTGAATATCTGATCATTCTCTGCAGCCGCAAAGTGTTTGGATGTGGTGAAGGGTCCTGGTTCAAGCCCAAGGTTAAAATCTTCTTACTATATTGGAATAAACGTGTCAATGTAATGGTGCTGCCAGCTTCAGCAACAGAGTGAAGTCTCTGGAGCTGCCAGGCTTTCGTACCACGAGGATGTGGAACAAACAACACAGAAGAAACTGAAGAGTCCCTCATAGCAAGGCCCATTCCTTCCCCCTGGCTACTCTAACACTGCACAGATGAAAGCTTGGTCACAGAAGCAGCAACACAGGAAAGCCTGGCTTCACAGGTGAACACAGGGTGTGGCAACTAACAACCTATACTTTCATGCCTTGCTGTCACTGTCTTAAAATAGTCAAGAGTGGAGCTACAAAAACCTGGGTTTCTATCAAAACTTCTCTCCTGTAAAAGGGAGGTGCTAATCCTGACCTGTCCCGTGAGGACAGGTACACAGGTAGTACAGCAGCTAGCTCTTAATTCTTTATTGCTAGTGAACATCAGAAATCTTTTTCTCTGGTCCCAACATGCTAAGGATGGAACCCAGGGCATTGTACATGCTAGGAGAACACTCTATTACTGACCTACACCCCACTCGTAAGCATTCCAAATCCTTAATCAGAAGTTCCAGAGCTACAGTAGATGACAAAGCTCCTCCACTGTTTTCATTGTCACCAGGAATCTAGATAAGCCCAAAGCTGCTCCCCACCACTCAGTTTCATCAAAACACCATTTTCTTCCCATTAACCAGCAGCAGAAACGTGATCTAGCAAACTTTACCTTAAAGTGTCTATTAGTTCGTACACTTTCTGCACTTCCACTCGGAGGTCATTGGCATGTTCCAGACTGTAGGTTGTTTCCCCAGCACTAAGGAGAAATCATAAATCATGGTACTAACTGGACAGCATGGTGTTTACATCCTCAGACACAGGTGGTTAATTCTAAGGCATTTTAGATTCATGGAGACAATGCAGTAATTCCTCGGGATGCAGTAATCAAGCAGAAGTCATTTCTGCTATGCAGACACCTCAGGGACAGACCACTGACCAGGCCTCTGAGGACCACCTCTTTTATTACCTTTTTAAAGATTCATTTTATTATTTTTAGGTATATGTATGGGTTAGAATACATGCCTGTGAGAGCCAGAAGTATCAGATCCCCTAGAGCTGGAGGTTATGAGTTTATGAGCCGCCTGACATAGGTGCTGGGAACCCAACTCTAGTGCTCTGGAAGAGCACTCAGTAGCTGCTGAGCCATCGCTCCAGTCCCCAAAGACCAGCTCTTAGACTCGTCAACAAAACGAATGCAGCTGAGTTCACTCTGACTCACTTTTCCTGAACAATCCCTCACTTTATCTTATCGGAGGTATAAAGTGAGCCCCTCAAACTACAGGAAAGCCGGAAGTCACTTGACTTTTCACACTCAGCCCCTGCTTAAGAAGAGGAGTAATTATGTAGTGAACAGGAATCCCCTGAGCTATGTCAACTGCCTCACAGACTCACTGCTCAATAAATGAGAAAAGCACCCAAGTCTAACAGAATGAGATTGTCCAGGGTGGTGAGGGGATATCAGAAAAGACCAGAAGCAACTTAACTCAGAACAGCAGCAGCATCTTTAGCGTTATAATTATTTAGTTTGCAATCTTGTCACCCAAGCCTGCCAGATTGCTGACTCCCAAATGCCACGATTGTGGCTTTTCTTTTCCATATTCTTGGTTATGAACTTTTGGATCATGAGAACAGTTCAGCAGCTTTCTCAGCTGTAACTAGCCTCACCACCAGCCACCCAACTCTTTATGGGAAGCAGCTGCAACTTAAGTAAGCATTACAAATTTACCATGTATAATGCAGTTCTGGCTGGAAAAAAAAATATGGGAGTGCTCTATGATTAGGGGATTCAATTCGGTGGCTTCATCATCTTTTCACCACAAAATATGCAACAACAACAACAACAACAACAAAATGGAAGTAAGAAAGCAGGCTTTGTGTGGCTGGGTGGTGGTGGTGCACCTTTAAATCCCAGCACTCGGGGAGGCAGAGGCAGGCAGATCTCTTGTGAGTTCAAGGTCAGCTTGGTCTACAGAGCAAGTGACAGGATATGCTCCAAAGCTACAGAGAGAAACCCTGTCTCGAAAAAACCAGAAGAAAGAAAGAGAGAGAGAGAGAGAGAGAGAGAGAGAGAGAGAGAGAGAGAGAGAGAGAGAGAGAGAGAGAGAAGGAGGGAGGGAGGGTAGAAGGGAGGAAGGAAGGGAGGAAGGAAGGAAGGAAGGAAGGAAGGAAGGAAGGAAGGAAGGAAGAAAAGAAAGCAGGCTTTGTCAGTCAGGTATCTGTGGCTCCTGCCTTTAATCCCAGCACTCAGGAGGCTAGAGCAGGCAAATCTCTGGAGTTCAAGGCCAGCCTGATCTACAATTAAAGAGTTCCAGACAGCCAGGGCTACACAGAAAACCTCTGGATTTTCTTCTTTTTAAATTTGCTATGCTGAATACCTCAGCTCCAGAGGTCATGCATGTCTCAGCCTCCTAAGTAACTAGGACTAAGGCTCTGTCTTGGTGTCTCACAGAAAAATCTAAGAGTTGACTGGGGCCTGAAACCACTTCCTCAGCCTCCATCACATCAGTTTTGCTCCCATCCAATACTTGCTCCCTTGACGATGGGCCATGGGAAAGGTGCCATGTCTCTGTCACTGCCTCAATCACAGGACCAAGGAGAACTAGTGCTTGTTCATGAAGCATCTGCTCAATGAATGAAGTAACATAGGACTCAGGAGATAGTCCCTGGAGGAGGATTGAAGGTTAACCATTTGGAATGTGCCCAGCAATGGCTGTCCCCACTGACCAAGGAAAATCACAGAATGTGGAGAGGCAGCACCAGCCACGGATGCATGAGCCTACACTCATGCACAAGAGCACATACACACACATCATACACAGATGCATCACACACACTAAATAAATACGTAAGAAACACAAGCGGTAGCCAGGTTGTGGAGAAACAAAATTATAAAATGCAAGGATAAAGATAATATCCACACAGTTGTCTGGAACACAATTTTTCAGTTCCTCAAAAAGCTAAATGCAGAGTTACCATAAAACCCAGTAAAAGTTTTACTCCTGTGCACACACACACAGGTTCATATATACATACATACAATTATGAAAGGTGCAGTCTTCTTGGTCAAGCATGCTGTCATATGTCTGTAGCCCCAGTACATGGAGGTAAAGACAGGAAGATCAAAAGATAACAGCCAGCTTCAACTACAGAATGAGTTTAAGACCAACCTGTACTACATAAGAACTTATCTCAAAAACAAAAATAAAAAAGCTGTGTTATCCACAATAATTAAAAGTGTGTGGGGGGAACCCAAATAAACATCAATTGACAAATGAATAAACAAATTTCATAAATAAATCTACAACATTTTAGTAGTAATGTAGTTCATACTACAACATGGGTGAATGTTGAAAACATTGATGTACATAAAAGTAACCAGACACAAAAGGTCATATAATTCCATTTATAATGGAATATGACATACTGAAAAATTCAGGCAGACCAGTGATTGTTAGGAAGAGGGCAAATTGCTTACAGGAATGAGGTTACTCACCAGAGTGATAAAAATGTTTGCAATTAAGATGGCAGTGACAACTGAACAACCTTGTGACTATACTATCGCTAAAAAGTATGTGAACCACACCTTAATTTTAGAAAAGAAACCTAAGATAGGCTACATTTGCCCAGTGCTGCTGTGTACCCATTTGTGCTCAAAACGAAATGCCTGATATAAGCCTGACATTGTAATGCACTGTTAAGAGGCACCTTGGCAAGCTGGGCATGAGATGGGTTTCCCTTCCTCACCTGTTTCCAAGTCCTACGCTGAGCAGTGGCACTTCTGGTCGGAGGACCCTCCCAAATCTGCTTCACTAAAATGGCCCTGACACAGGAACATGGACGGTTATGTGTATTTTCAAAACTCATGTGACAAACACATATGGCTACCAATGTACAATTGTGAAAAGTCAGAGTTAAGATTTACAGCTTTAAGTGCTCCCAGAGGTAAGAGGCCAGGGGTTGGGAGTTTAAGAGGCAGTCTAGAACCAAATACATACTAACGGATCTATTAACATTAATCTCCTATAATCTGGGGGGTTCTATTTTTTTTGGCAGCTGTGCATCCAGTGGTAGAGCATGTGCTAAGCATATACAAGGTTAGGTTTCATTCTTGGCACCAAAGAGGAAACAATAAAATACAGAAAACAAATAAGAAGATTCCTATCTCTATTTCCATCTAGTGAAGATTGGCCTCACTAGCCAGATCATAGCCATCAATGAGTCAGAAAAACAGAGAGGAAGGGCTTACTTTAAAGATGCTGCCATCCTGATGTATTCAGGAGCTTTCTGGTCAACTTTCTCCATGCAAAGTCGTAGTTTCTAAGAACAGGAGACAAGAGGTGAGTGCTACACAAGACAGAAACTCTAACCTAGATGCCAACCTACTCTAGAGACATAAATAAAAGGCCCCTTAAAACACTAGGTTTTTTGTTCTGTCATTGTTAGTTTCCTTAGGATATTGAACCTTTTGACCAGGCGTTTCTGAGAGGCAGCCTTCCAGAGCACAATGTATCTCAACAGGGAAAAGGAATCAGCCGCTGAGTTCCTGCCAGGTGATGCCAGCTAACAGCAAGCTACCAGCACACAGCACTGCCAGGGTTTTCCTCAAAACAGCAATGACTAGTTACAAAAAAGATACCAGTGTTTGAACTCCATACAGGATAGAGGGCAGCTACAGCGGCAGCTCAGCACTGGTTTCACACCACCTCTGGCAATGTCAATGTTTATATGGTAGAATACAAATAGTCATCATGACCTGCAGAAATGTTTAGTGGCCATTCAGTGCTCACTGAGAACATACTTCCTTGCCTCAGAGTTTTGCTTAAGTAACTTCCTCTGCCCAGGCTGATCCCCACTTCCAGAGTCCTTCATTTCCCCACCGTCTCCTGAACTACTTTTTCTCAGTCCACAAGTCTCACTTGGTCATTAAGAGGCTGACTTAGCCTTATTCCCAGATTTTTCTTTTCCTTTTGTTTATTTATTTTCATTTGTTTGAAATAGGCTCTTTCTATGTAGCTCTGACTGGCCTGGAACTTGCTACATAAACCAGGCTGTAAAACTCACAGAGATCCACTTGCTTCTGCCTCCTAAATGCTGGGATAAAATAGGTGTACTACCATGCCCAGTCCAGATATTCTTTACATACTCATTTCCTATTGCATTCCATCTGATTTTAGATGTGCACTGGGGAAGAAACCTACAGCAAGAGGTCTACCACAGAGTCACATTCCTTTTCCTTACTCTCAGTGTGCCTCCAGTTAGGTGCTCTGGGGTCACTGGAGGCAATGAACACTAAGGCATTTGAGACTCAGAAGAGACTCTCAGTGGACAGGCAGAAAACATACAAGCCCTGAAAACACAACAGCTTAAACTGGTAAAGACCAAAACTTCCAAGCAGAGTTCCCAGGACCCTTGCCGCCCACAGTTCCCTACACCTTCCGCTTCTGTTTTTCCACAGAGCCTGGTCATGCACAGACAACCATCCTTCCTCACTTGTCTTAGGCCTCCTTCCCAAGGTAGAAGACGAGTTTGCTACCACACACCCAGGATAACTCTATGACTCACCCAGGGCCCTAGCTGGGAAATCATATCATGGCCCCTGGGCAGGAACTAAAAGTGATTCAAGGGAACAACTTTCCAGAGCACTTTCTAGATTCTGCAGGCAGGTGTACAGCAAGCAGCTGAATCTGCCTGGCATGCGTCACCTCGTAGAGCTTCACGATGTCAGGTGTGTGCTCCTTCTCGTCCATCTGCTGCTCTCTCTTGAGCAGCTTGTCCTTGCAGTGTATGCAGCAGCGAATACGGTCATCATCCTTCTCGTCCAGGACTGAGCTGACACTGCTCATGCTACTGATGCTGCCCCGGCGGGAGCCATGGACACTGTTAGGTGACTGGCTGGGGCTGGTATGGGTGCTCAGGGAGTCCTTGCTGGCACTGGTGAGCTTATCTACAAATCATAACAGACAGGCAGCAGTGACCCCTCAGCAGCCATTTATCCCATCACCTGCGAATGCATCACTCAGGCCATAGATGTGACTTGGGAAACAATAAGAGCAGGCTTCGCCTCTGGACAAGAAGGACCTATTCCTCTGCCACAGGGGTTAGACTCTGGTGGGAAAAGAATGCTGTTGCCAAGCAGGTCAGGTCCAAACAACCTGTAGTGACCTGCCTTTGGGACTTGTAACACTAATCCTAACCTGGCCATCCCATACCCACTTCATGTTTGTCCCATTTCTCCACACAATCCACATTCTCCAGAGACTTCCCTCTGTAGCTCTCCCACCAGTCCCTAACATCTGGCGCTTACCCTTTCCAAGCTTAGCTCTGATACATACCCTCTAGGAAGCCTTCCTAGGTTCCCACAAGCAAAGATCTGCCCTTCGTATCATTTTCCATTACCCATTCGGAGCACACTCCTTTTTTTCCCTGTCCAACAGCTGTCTGTATGTACAGAGCTGCCCTGGGAATCTGCTACTATTGGGTAAAACTGTGTCTTATACTCAATAGTCCTAACACAGCCATCAAGGTCACCTGATAGCATCTGCCCCAGTAAATAACCCAAGAGCAGAAAGGTTAACACTGTCCTGAAAGGAGGTGGGTCTCAGGGAGAAAGGAAAGTATCAAAGAAAAGTAAGAGGCACAAGAACCAGGCAGAGCAAAAGTGACTGTGCCCCCATGTTGTCCATAAGCCTCATAGCCAACTCTTTGGCGATGCTAATCTGTGCTGGGGATGGAACTGAGCCTTGACCATGCTAACAAGTGCTCTTTCACTGAGCTGCATCTCAGTCTTCCTGTAGCAGTGTCTAAGCAGCTGATCTGCAAAGTTTTGATGCATCTAGTTCACTTGTACTTTTACATCCTTGTTCACCCAGGTTTCACCCACACCTGTACATTTCCCATAGCAAATCTCCCTCCTCACCTACTTAGCTCAGCTCCCTGGGGACTGAGTGCCAGGATCCCTTGATGTTTTTGACTCTGCCTAGAATGCTAACAACCCCATTCTCTTTCAAGGTACTTCTGACATCACATGTGGAGTCACTGGAGCCTCCATGGCACTTAGCATTTCCCATATGCCATTAGTCTTTCTGTATGACATGTTATCATAAGGAGAGGAACAGAACCACAGCTCATTTTTCAAATCCTCTTCCCAAAACCTCGCCTGCATTTCTAGGCAAAGCTGACAAAAAGCTGATCAGCCTCTCCTTTATAACACAATTGTGTGTAACTCTCTATCTCCCCTGCTAGATTTCCTTGAGGAAATAGGCAATGTCTCACATACTAGAATTGTTCAAATAACCTCTAGTAAGCCAACTGAGCCTCCGCTCAGTTTTTGCACAGCTCTTAAACTAAGTATGTTTTTTACTCTTTTCTACTTTTGTTTTGAGACAAGATCATCTCACTCTGTAGCCCAGGCTCAATCTCACAGCAGTTTTTCAGCCTTAGCCTCCCATGTGCTGAGGTTACAAGCAGGGGTCACTACATCTAGCTTGTTTTACATTTCCTTGTTTGGTTTTAGTTTGAGACCAAACCTCAATGGCTGATATAAACCATGCTGGGACTCTCTGATTCTGCCTCCCTAGTGTGCACACACACAGATGGTTGCTCCTTTAAAAAAAAAAAAAAACTAAGAAGAAAGGGAAGAGACCATGTGTGTCCACAAAGTCTAAAATAGTTTTTATTTGACTTTTTATTAAAAAAACCAAAACTCTCAGGGATGGGTGGTGGGGCAATCCCAGCTCTTGGGAAGCAGAGGCAGGTGAATCTCTGAGTTAGAGGCCAGTCTGGGTTACAGAGCAAGTTCCAGGATAGCCAGGGCTACAGAGAAACCCTGTGTGTGGGTGGGGTGGAGCAAAAAACAGCAAATAAACAATCAAAACAAACAAATAAACAAACAAAAAGATCTAGGACTGGAAAGATGGAACACAGGATAAAAGTACTTGCTGCTCTTGCAGAGGACCCAGGTTCAGTTCCTAGAACTCACATAGTGGCTTACAACCATCTGTAACTCCAGTTACAAGGGCTCCAACACCCTTTTCTGAAAAAAGAAAAAAAAATTTATCAGCCTGTACGGGCCACTATATCTCCACTATATCTGTGGGCTCTACCTAGCACAAGTGTCTAGGCTGTCGTGGGCTTCATGAACTCACAAGTAGATGAAGGAAGATTCTGTGGGCCATTAATTAAACAAGTGGTTCCAAGGACTTGAGCACACTCATTAGTTTCAAAAGAGGTCAGGGTCCAGGGCCCACAACCACATCACCTACTTGCCAAGGGCAGGCCAATAAGCTCCATACATTTCTTGCACATGATAGACCCACAGAGGCGGCAGTGGTGACGGCGGTTCCGGATGCTGAACTTATTCCCACAGTCTGGACAGAAAGGGACATCCTGGTCATTGACCCAAGGCACCACAGACTTTTCTATTGCTTTGGGAGGAAAAAAGGAAAAAGCTCAGCATTTTGAAGTTGTTCTCAAGGAGAAAGCCAAAATGGAATGACTGTGAGCAAAGGTCTCGACTTACCTCTAATCTTTGAAGTCTCAGTATTTGTTCTGTCAAATGCAGTGAGCTAAACAGGAAAACACAAAGCCAAATAGAGTTAACCAGTTGAGGGACATACTCCACACTTCTGCCACTCACACAGGCAATGCACGTTTACTTTTCTTAAGGCTTACTGGTCAGCCCCAACCCCAGTTACCCAACCAATTTCACAAGGTTTCATATCCAGAAGAAAACTCCATACCTATAAAGCTTTATCAGTGTGATTATTTGGGACCAGGCAGACGGGACAAAAGAAAAGCTCCACCTCCGCTTACAAACCTTCATTCCTGTAAGAACTTTCCTGGTCTGGGACTTACTTGGTGGTAGCATGCTTGCTGGATTACCATAAAAATGAAAAAAGGGACCTACAGATGTTACCACACACCCCCACACAATCCAGATATACAGCAAGTGTATCTAGGGTCAGAATACAATCCAATCATGGAGGTGCTGCAGGCATAATCTAGCACTACAGGGCAAGAAAGGCTACCCAAGATGCCCCCACAACACACACTAGCCCTAGCCCTGACTGAGTACTCACAGATCTGGGTACTGCTTGTTTACTATCAAATGACATTACATACTGTGCTCCCACTGAGTGACTGCCTGGGACAACCCCAGAATGAAAGGTTCTAAAGCAGTAAGTGGAGGGAAAAGGCAGAAAAGGGGAGGTGGGCACATAGCAAGTCTATCAGTGTGAGCCATTCACTTCAGGAAGGCCAGCTCAGTCTGTCCTCTAAAGTTCTCTCAGAATCAGATATATGTCACTCATATAGCACACTATAGAAACTGAGATTCCTACAAAATCTGTACTTGCAAAATAAAACTACAAAATTTACCTTCTCCAACCTAATTATTAATTTGTTGACTTCTACAACATAGTGGTCAATTCTTGCAGCACGATGTTTTTTAAAGTCAGAAAGATGGCTTCTCACAGCACCTAAAGGGGAAGAGAAGATAAATTAATTGTTAATGGTTCTCATGAAGCCTCTCTAGATCCTCAATGAATTGAAAAGTAAGTACAAAATTCAGGGTTTTTGAGCTTTACCAAAAATTTAAAGGTCTCAAAGCATAGCAAATTTCAATTCTGCTAGATACTAAGCAACCTGAGACAAGTTACTTGACTACTTTGTGACTTAGTATAATGTAGCTTTTTATCAAAATAAAAATAATTCCTTCTCAAAAGCAGGGCAGTGATTGGTGGCTTTCACCTTTAATTCTAGCTCTGGGGAGGCAGAAGCCAGGATCTGAGTCCAAGCCCAGTCTGGTCTACAGAGTGAGTCCCAGGACAGCCAGGGCCACATAAAGAAATCCTGTCTTGAAAAACCAAATAGTAATAATCTCTTCTCAAAAGAGGCGGGGGAGGGCAGTAAGTAATAACATATGCCCTTAGGACAGTTAAACATCTAAAACCCAGCAGAAACGTTACCAATACAAATGAAAGCAAGTAGTATCTGACCATAGCGTGTCTGCTCAGTATGGTCTGCTCCTAATGCTGACCTCTGACCCTGCCAGTACTCAATGTTCTTCCCAGTGACCACTCTAGCAATTAGAACTGGGGCAATTAGGAAACAAACTGTCACAAAGTATTAAAATTCACTTGTCTGAATTTTCTCCTTTATGCTTCTAATTAGCTTTCATATAATTTATAATTGCTGACATATGCCTGTAATGGAAGCAGACCTCTGAGTCGTGGCCAAGTAACTCCATTGTGTGCTTGACTGTAGCAAAACAGGCCATCCTTCCTATGGCTAGACACTGCTTGCTGAGATCAGCAGAATCCCTAATTATAGCAAGGACACAGTACACATAAACATGGTACCTTATCATTTGGTTTTATCTGTACCTTATGTGGTCTGAACCCATAGCCACCACTACTGTTTCAACACTAGAAAGTGCTCTGAATCCAGCTTTGCATTAACTCTGCTGTAGACTTAGAGACATAAAACAGAAACTTAGGGCTGGAATGAGAATTCAGCCGTTAAGAGCACATAGTGCTTGCAGGATCCAAGTTCCGTTCTCAGCATCCATGTCAGATAGCTCACAACTCCCTATAACTTCAGCTCCAGGTAATATTATACCCTCTTCTGGACTCCACAGACAACTGTATACATATGTGCACATACTCATACAGACACACAAAATTTAAAAAATAAATTTTAACAAATATAAAACAGTAGCTTGGTGCACAGGAGATAGGGGTTTTTCAGTGTTACAGCTGCCTATGAGTCACCCATGTTCCTGTAAATAACCCTAATAAACTCATTTATCTCACCAAACTAGACTGGTGGGAGCTTTCTTTGTTCTGTCTGCATCCTCTTTATTTGAAGTGAACAGATGTTTCCTTTACAGGTCCCTGGAAAGTCATGTAACAATAACATTATTTGTAAAGTAATTTCTCCTGCAGTGATAAAAATGTTTGTGTACACTCACAGGGTGGCCACTGACCACAGAGGGATACTGAAGAGTGAAGTGTGTGTAGTAGAGGAAATGACCCTTACATTTTGATTCATTATTGAAATTTCAATAGTCACATATGGCCAGTGGCTACTGAATTGGACAGCAGCACAGTTCTAGGATTTAATGCCACCTTCCCCAGTGGTATGAATAAAACTGTAACCAGTGACCCTGGTAAGAACCCCTTCCTTTCTTAGGGCTGTAGCTTTCTCATGTGTACGACTGTGTGTGTGTGTGTGTGTGTGTGTGTGTGTGTGTGTGTGTGTGTGTGTGTGTGTGTATGTATGTATGTATGTATGTATGTGTAGGGTGTTGGAGTGGTCAGAATAGGCTATCTCACAAGAGTTTTGAATATGGAAGTAAAGTAAACTACTCTGAAAGAAGCATTACTTATCCATTTTATGGGCAGAAAGTACTTTATTGGGTTGGGTATGTAGCACTGTGTCAAGACTCAGCATGGGTGAGGCACATAGATGCTCAATAAGCATGGAATGAAAGAATAAATGAATTTTCTTTCTTTTTTTTTTTTTTTACGAGACAGAGTTTTTCTGTATTGTTTCAGAGGCTATTGGTCCAGCCTGGCCTTGAACTCACAGAGATCCGCCTGCCTCTGCCTCCCGAGTGCTGGGATTAAAGGCGTGCACCACCACCGCCCGGCTAAATGAATTTTCTTACCAAGCTTCTGACTGAGATTAAATCCTGGCAAATAAAATTAGTGATTGTTATCAATCCACAGCTATAGAATATGTAAGATGAGATGCTTTAGTTCAGCAAATGTGGCATATTTTTGTTAACAGCTTTTCTGATATGTATACATATAATTTTCTATACATATAATTCAATATTTAGCAAAGTATGGTGCATGCCATTAATCCCAGCATTTGAGAGGTAGGCAGATTTTTGGAGTTCAAGGCTACCATGTTCTACAAAGGGAATCCCATGACAGTCAAGGCTACATAGTGAGTACAAGTCTCAATTTAAAAACACAAAAATAAAAGTCATTCTAAGCATATTAATTCAGTGATTTAGATCTTTAGTGGGGGGGAGCTGTTTGCTATATTCACAATATTGAATCATCATAAAAAGAAATTTTAGACTATTTTTATCAATTGGGGCATAGTGGCAAACACCTTTAATCCCAGTACTCAGGAGGCAGAGGCAGGCAGATCTTAGAGTTCAAAGCCAGCTTGGTCTACATAGTGCGTTCCAGGACAGCTAAAGCTACATAGCAAGACCCTATCTCAAAAAAAAAAAAAAAAAAAAAAAATGTAGAGCTGGGTGGTGTAGCTATGTAACACAGCATTTGCCAAGGCCTTAGACTGTGTCCTTAGCAGCACATTCCAGTTTAAAGTAACCAAGCAGATGAAATCATAATTATACACATCAGAAAAGTGAGGTGCACAGTGCCTTTCACTTGTCAGGTAACCTGAAAGGAGACAGATCTGTTAATGGGCTCTGTGGCTAGTCTTCATGAGACAGATCCAGAATCACACTCTACTGCTGTCTAGCAGCTGTTTCATCTTCAGCAGGTTCCTGTAGGGGACAGTAGCACATACAGAGCATACAGAGCATTTAACTCAATGCCTAACTTAAGAGATCTCAACTCATTCCCTTCCATTTCTTTCCCTGTGAGGACATAAGGCCAATACCATGCTTGACCCTTAGGATTTACTGAAGCTTTCTCAATCAGCTCCAAAACAATGAAAGTAGGAGAGTGACTTGTTGGGAAGAAGGGGTTTACTGAAGAGGGAAGGGGATCAGAGAGGATGGTAGAAGGGTTGTCAACTTGTCTCTATCTGAATCAAGTGAAGTCTAAGTTGCTGGGGACTCCTGTGAGGGATTTTCTTACATTATTGAAACAAAATCTGTGCTAAATCTGGCCACACCTTCTGGTGACAGCCCCCATGAAAGACTGGAAGAAGGAAACTTGGCTTTTAGTTTGCTTGCCCTCCTTCTCATTGGCAAGTTCATCTATCCTGTTGCTGCAGCCAGTTCTAAATCCCAGGTGTTCAGGATTCCAACACAGATTGAGACGAGCAGCTCTCCAAGAATCCTCTAGGATACAGCATCAGATTGTGACTACAGAGACTAACAACTACCAGATGCCCAGCTTTTCAATTTTGAGATAGCCATTGAACTACCAGGACCATCTTCTATCAGTTCCGTTTCTTTAGAGAACCTGATTGTGAAATATAATTTTAAAATTGAAAAAAATTAACTAAGACAGTGTGGGTATCCCATAAGCACTGAATGAATGAATGGATTTTCTTACCAAGCTCCTGGGGTTCCCACATGTAAGGATCAACCCCTCCATAGCTGAATGATTCATATCCTTGGGTTCCTGGTTCCACTCGATCATCTCCTTCGCGTTTCAACAACTTGTTCTTTGCTCTCCTAGCCTTCTGGACAAGATCTTAAAGAAATGAAACAAACACCACAAATGAGCCCAAGATTATATAAAAATAATCTTCCTTACTTTAAAATACACAAGAATATTTGGATGCCCCAGTGAAGCAGTGGGAGAAATATCTCATTACCAACCCCCACAGAAGTAATGTAATTTTAAAAACTGCCTTTGAAACCTGATACCTATGTGCAATATTTTAGTGTTCCATTTCTTATTGTTTACAAATATAATACCCACAGGCAAGACGTTACACACCTTTGATCCTAGCACTCAGAAGGCAGAAGCAGGCACATTTCTGTGAGTTCAAGGCCATCCTGGTCTACGTAGTGAGTTCTAGGCTAGCCAGAGCTACTGGCTACTCAGAGAGACCTTATTTCAAAATAAATTAAATAAATCTCATAAAAATTTGAAGGATCAACAGACCAAATGGCGAGATGACATGTTTTTAAAGGGGCTTTTCAAAAAAATTCTATGTCAATCTTTCCTAATTTCTCTCTCACTTTCTCTTTTGGCTTTATTTTTGAAAGGTTGGCTTCTAACCTGCAGCTAACTACATTCCCAACTCTGCCTCTCCAGCACTAGGATTACTAAAGCACAAAGACCTGCAACTTAAGAATTCTACCCAACCAGGGTAGATATACTATAATCCAAGAATCTGTAAGTGGAGGCAGGTGGATCAGTACAAGGACATCCACCACTATGTTAGAAGCTAGCCTGGGCTACTATAAGAAACTTTGTTTGAAACAAACAAACAAAAATGGGGTCTTCCAGATGGCTCAGCAAGTAATGCTTACAGAAAAGCCTGAATGCCCAAGTTCAATCTCCATGACCCGAATAGTATAAGGAGAGAACCCACTATCACAAATTGTCCTCTGACTTCCACGCTGACATAGTATGTGTGTCAACATAAATATATACACTAAATAAATGTAATAAAAAAGTTCAAACCAGAAACATTAAAAAAAAAAAAAAAAGGATTTCATCCTAACTAACAGAATGATTTCTAGTGTTAAAAGAATGTTGCTTCTTTTGAGGTAGAAATAGAATAAATAAAAACAAGAGGACTTTTTTCCTTGTGTATGGAAGCCAGGGCCTGGCAAGTGCTCTATGAATCATGCCCTACTCTGCAGAAGGCCCATCCTAGAGGATCTTTATAAGTTCCTTTACACAAAACGTTTTCATGCAATGTATATTTCCTAGATTCACATCTCTAACATTCCTTAAACAGTCTGAACATTTTCCTTTTTTAGAAAAGTTCCTGAGCCAGGCAGTGGTGGCACACGCCTTTAATCCCAGCATTTGGGGAGGCAGAGGCAGGAGGATCTCTGTGAGTTGAGGTCAACCTGATCTACAGAGAGAGTTCCAGGACAGACTCCAAAGCTACACAGAGAAACCCTGTCTTGAAAAACAAATAAACAAAAAACAAAAACAAACAAACAAACAGAGGCAGGAAGAAAGAAAAGCTCTTGTGAGGGTTGCAGAGATGACTCAGCAGTTAAGAGCTTTTGGTGTCCTTCAGAAGACCTGAGTTCAATTCACAGCATCTACATGGGGTTCAAAACTGTCTGTAACTCCAGTTCCAGGGAATCCAGTGTTCTCATCTTGCCCCCATGAGCACTAGGCATACAAGCATTGCAATAACATACATACAGGCAAAACATCCATAGCCATAACATAAATAAAAATTTAAAAAGTAAAAGGACACCTCTAACCGTTCTTATATTTTTGGTTGTGAGCCTAGCCTTTAACGGCTGAGCCATCTCTCCAGCCCAACCTCTAATCTTTCTATAGTCTGGCCTATCTAGTCCTCTGAGTAGCATGGTGTATGGAAAGATAGAAAGCTCTCTGAAACTCTTTGTCAGGGGAAGTTTAGATAATCTGGTTTGGGGTTCCTCCCCCCCTTTTTTTCCTGGAAGTTGCAAAAGTATACTGTAATCAAAATAGAAAGAGGGTCTTTCACCATCAGAGATGCACTGCAGAAAAAGCTGCCCTGAGTGCCAGGCGGTGGTGGTGCACGCCTTTAGTCCCAGAACTCGGGAGGCAGAGGCAAGGCGGATCTCTGAGTTCGAGGCCAGCCTGGTCTACAAAGCTACACTACACAGAGAAACCCTGTCTTGGGCGGGGAGGAGCTGCCCTGGACATCCATGTGTCAGAAAATCTGGGTTCCAGGCCTATTTCTGTCAATTGCTGTGTTGCTTTAGAAACATTACTAGTCAACTCTGAGCCACACTTACCTATATAATTACCCCAAGCATCCTCCAGTAGGATTGCTGGGAGAGTCAGGTGACACGACAATGCATAGGAAAGAAACTGCAAACATTACAAAGCACCACCCTTTCCTGTACTCCCTTTAGCAGTTTCTGGTTCTGCTTCAGAATCTAGAGTCAGCAGTTTCCTGGACAATCACAGCCCTGAGGATTCTGAAAATGTCTGACTTCATCACGTTGTTGTATGGAAGTTGTAACTAATGTTATATTGATATTCCCAGCATTTTGTATTGTTTAATTTTGTTTTTTGAGACAGGGTTTCTCTGTGTATCCTTGGCTGTCCTGTAACTACCTATATAGATCAGGATGGCCTAGAACTCACAAGATCTACCTGCTTCTACCTCTGGACTGCTGGGACTAGAGGCATTCGCCGCCACCACCTATTTTTTGGGTTCTTTGTTTTGTTTCTAATGAACTGAAAAATAGAGTGTGGAAGTCCAGGGACAAATATTTGATTATAAGGAGCATGTGAGTCACATTTCTGGAGAACAGCATCCACTAGAAACACCATCTAGTGGTTCAGCCCTTCTTTCCACCCAGTACAGATTATAAATGCAGTGTCCACACTCTTGTGGCCTCCAGAAATGTTGCCAAGTAGGATATGAAACGTAGTTCACTACTGGAGCAGCAACTTATTTGGAGGTTAGAATATTAGGTACAGTCAAAATTACCTTTGAAGATTTCTCTTAAAAAAAAAAAAAAAGCCAGGCAGTAATGGCATATACCTTTAATCCCAGCACTCAGGAAGCTGAGGAAGGCAGATCTCTTGAGTTCTCTGAGTTCAAGGCCTATCTACAGAGTGAGTTCCAGGATAGCCATGGCTACACAGAGAAATACTGACTTAAAAAAAATGCACTTTGGAAGTTGTTTCTCTTTTTTTTTTTTTTTTTTTTTTTTTGGTTTTTCGAGGCAGGATTTCTCTGTATTGTTTGGAGGCTGTCCTGGAACTCGCTTTGTAGACCAAGATGGCCTCGAACTCACAGAGATCCGCCTGCCTCTGCCTCCCGAGTGCTGGGATTAAAGGCGTGCACCACCAACGCCCGGCTTCTCTTTTTTTTTTTTCAACTATTACATTTCTACAAAAGGCAGGGTCTAGCCAGGGAAGGAGGGATGATGGGAAGGCTTAAATTAATAACAGGCAAATAGTGTGTATTGGGCCTCCAGTTTTTGTTATTGTTTTGTCTGGAGACAGGGTTTTCTCTGTGTAGCCTTGGCTGTGTTGGAACTTAATCTGTAAACCAGGCTGGCCTTGAACTCATGGAGATCTGTATACCTCTGCCTCCCAAACACTGGGATTAAAGGACTGTACCACCATTGCCCACTTGGGCCTCCACTTTTCTATCAAAGGATAAGCATTCGTGTCCAAACCATCCCAGGCTGAGAGTGACATAATCTGAGTAATCCAGTACAATGGCTATGTTTATTAGCTTAAAACAAGGCTTACTCCATTTGGGTGACTTTGGGTAGGCTGTCTAATCTGGTAACCTAGCCAGCAAAATGCAACTCACAGTAGCATAGCTGTCATGTGTATTAAATAAGATAAATACGGGCTGGGCCTAGTGGCACATGTCTTTAACCCCAGCAGTCAGGAGGCAGAATTAGACAGATCTCTGTCAGCCAGAACTACATAGAAAGAGACTCTGTCTCAAAAGGAAAAAAAAAAAAAAGGTAAGTAAATACACAAAGAGAATCAACAGTGCAGAACACACAGTAAGTACTAGATTTCTGCTTGCTACTATTATTATCAGCATTATAACCCAGTGAGAACATGAAAGTCTATAAATCTATTCCATTAAGTAAAGCCTCTCTAATAGAATGGAATGAGCAAAACCCTTGCCCCTTACTTTTAATTTGTCCTTTGACATCACGGTCTTCTGAGTGTTCTTCTTCATAATGTGACTGAAGTTGATAGAAAGACTGAAGGTCCTTTAGGCACAAAGGGCACAGGAAGCCTTCCCTCACTTCCCCTGGGTCATCAAGAGAAGCCATAGTTGTGCTTCTCTCAACCCCAGGAGAGCAGGAACCTCATGCCAAGTCAGCTTTATTCCTCCCAAGGGAGCGGGATTCTGGCAGTGTTAGCTTACGTAGGCAGCCCACGGATAATTGGGAAGTGACATTGTGGCCTTGGACGAGATTTCCTCTCTTCAGCAGGAGGAATCTAAGAAAAACAAAAGTCAATTGAGGCAAATTAGCAGCAAACAAAATGTTTCTTTGTTCTTCCCACAGTTCAACAAAGGTACAAGTTTGTAACAACAAGGTTAATGTTTGATACAAGGTTGTGAAAACAAACTGTTTCTCAAATTCTTGGACCAAGACAAAACCCAATATATGAGAACTGTGCAGGACACACTAGTAAATCAATGAAGTGAGAAGCACAGTCCTACAAAGAAAGCAATCAGGATCCCAGGGCACTTCCTTTAAGTTCACTTCAAATGGTCCAACCTCATTATTTGATAGGGCTCTTCTTAGTACTAAGGATATAACCCTGAAGTACATGATAGGCAAGTCGTCTTCCACCAAGTCCACCTAGGTCCTTATTGCGGTTCTTACTGAAGACAAGGTCTTGCTAAGATCGCCTGGGCTGGTCTTGAACTCACTTTGTAGCCCAGGTAGGTCCTGAACTTGCTACCCTCTTGCTTTAGACTTCTGGAATTACACACCTACATCACCAGCATGGCTAACATGCATTTTAGTCACTGAGGGAAATATGTAACATACTTACCAATGAACAATACTTTCAATCAACCATATATACTGAGCTCTTGATACTTGTTAGGAACATGTGCTAGAAATACCAGAAGCTAAGTGCAATGGCTCATGACTATAATATCAGCACTCTGGAGGGAGAGAAACAGGAGGCCAGCCTAGGCTACACTGTGAGATTCTGTTTCAAGAAACCAACTAGCAAGATGTGTAAAGTGTACACCACTCAATGGTAAAGTACATGCCTCAAAGTTTAATTGCCAGAATCTCCAAAAAGATACAAGGAGAAAACTGATTTCCAAAGGTTGTCCTCTAACCTTCATACATATACTACACCTAAGCACACACATCACAGACGCACAAAACAACAATTTAGAAAAGAAAAGCTAGTGTTCCTTTTAAACACCAAAAGGTAAACTAACAAAACTTTCAACCTTCCCTTAAAGAGAAATATTAAGAAACCTAGTAGGAGAAAAAAAAAAAAAAAAGAAGTAAAGAGCCAGAGACAAGAGCCAGAGAGATGACTCAGTGTAAAGACACTTGCCACCAAGCCTGAGTTTGCACCAGATGCTAAATAAAAGTGGAAGGAGAGGACTGGTTCCTGAAAATTGTCCTGTCATTTCCATACACTGAGTGACACACATGCCCCCCACACACACACACACTATGTGGTGTGCACATTAAGTTCCAGCTGTTTCAAAGGCTGAGGCAGGAGGAACCTCACCTGAACCTAGGAATTCAAAAAATAACACTTAAGCATTTCAGGGCTTAATGATTTACATTTTCCATCTTATTGGAACCTGGGAAAGTCACTATCAGTGTGACCTTGAAGGACTCCGAGGCATAGAGAGCAAAGACAAAATATCACTTTCCAGAAGCTAGGAAGTCTGTACCCGAGACCTTGGGGCCACAAATCAAGCAGAGTGGGAGAGCCTGTGTGGCCAGACCCTGGGTGTGCTTTGGAGGGATGCAGAGGGTACTGAGGCGGGCACTATCCAGTCCTCAAAGCTGAAAGTGAAGTGGGATGCCAGGGGCCTGCTGTTTCCCTTAAGAATTGTTTTAAGAAATTGAGAAACTCCCTTAAAAGAAAGAAATCTGACAGGCATGACGGCACACGCCGTTCATCCCAGAACTCAGGGAGGCAGAAACTGAGAGACACCTGTGAGTTTGATGACAGCCTAGTTTACGTGGCAAGTTCCAAACCAGACACGGCTACATAGGGAGACCCTGTCTCTAAAATAAATGAATAAATAAATCCGATGACTACACACATGCAGACTCCACCCAGAAAGGCATCTGAGGCATCACTGAAACAGTCAGCGCCAGGTCCGACCTGTTCTCTCCGCAGGCAGTGGCTGACGGATCCTCTGAGGATAACCACCTCCTCCTCCTCCTCCCCTGCACTCATTCCAAACAGCAGCAGCCCCCGTCCACCCCGGTCACACACCGCAGCTCAAATCTCACCCTGGAGAAACGCCCCTTAACCGGCCAAGATGCCTTCACTACAGTTGCCTCGGGGTGCCACGGCCTGCATGCAACATGTGAAATGACTAAATAATACAAGACCACAGCCAGTGAGGAGAGCCTGTGATTTGCTCGCTCTCTCTCTCTCTCTCTCTCTCTCTCTCTCTCTCTCTCTCTCTCTCTCTCTCTCTCTCTCTCTCTCTCTCTCTCTCTCTCTCCTCTCTCACACACACACACACACACTCACACTCACACTCACACTCACACTCACAGGAGAGTGGCATAATAGGGTTTCACGAATGAACGAAACGAGGCACCCTAACATAAAGTCACTTAATGATGCGCTACCACAATCCACCGAAACCGGTGCCGCAACCAGAAGCCCTGTCATGCATCCCGAATGGAGTGAAGAACCCAGCCAGGAGCACCGCAGAGGTTCGCGCGGCCACGCGCACCCGCAGGACCGCGACTCTGCCGGCGCCACGCAACCCGGCGCGGGCAGAGACGCCCGCCGAGGCCCGCGGAGCCTCTCATCTCCCCACAGCTTCGGGGCCTCAAACCATGAGTCACACCCACCCCAGCCACCGCCGCGTTCTTTGTGGCTCTCCGAGCTGGCGCCGACACCCTCCCTCAGGCCCTGCGGCTTCCGAAACGCGGCTGGCAGTCTGCTCTCGACCTCCGGCTGCGACTCCGGGCCTCCGGGATTCCTCAGAGACTCACGGCAGCCATCGCTATCGGTGGCTCGGCGCTCGGCAGGCGCGCCAGGGGGAAACCGGAAGGCAGACTGACAGACGGCGGCCGAGCGCCGAGTCGTCGAGCGCTCAGAGCCGACAGGGAAAAGTGCGGAGTTAGACTGGAAGGCTGGGGATTCCGCGCAGGCGCGATCTCCATGAGGCGGGCCCGGGAGGAGCAGACGGAGCCTTGCTACTGTGAAGTTCTCCCAGGTCCTAGCAACACGCACGCAGATTTGGGAAGCCTACAACTTGCCCTTCACCCACTCTATAGGTGGGAAGAACGAAGCTTTGACACTTGAACGCTGTGGCTGCAACGTTAATTTTATTCAGAAGCCATTAAAAAGTTCCTGAGGAATTTTGAGGGTGGATCAGTGGTTAGTTGTTCTGGTTGTTCTTGCAAAGGACTAGGGTTTGAGCAACCACTTGTCTCCGATGCCCTCTCTGGCCTCTGTAGGCACTGCACTCATGTGGCACATAGACATATATGTAGGCAAAATACACACACACACTTTTGTTTAAAAAATTTTTTTAAGTTTCTGAGTGCGAAGGAATGAAGGTATGATCAGCACACGGAGGAGACAGAAAGACACTGGATAGAACCACAGAGAGGTTGAGAAGGATTATCAGGGACAGGGAGTTGGCCCGATTGGTCCTGGTTGGGGTTCAGTTTCTACCATGTGCCCATGCCTGGAAGCCTAATACCATGCTCTAGGGATGGAAGCCAGAAGATCCGAAGTTTAAACTAATTTTCAACTACATAGCAAGTTCAAGGCCAGAGGTGGCATACATGAGACCCCGTCTCAAAAAAGAAAAAAATAAGTATGTAATTGAGTGCAAAATGAATGACATTTACAAAAGACAGTATGTCAGATCAGTCGCCTCTGCACCTAGCTGTATCATGAAACGAGCACAGGGTAGAGACAGACTCGTCTGATGCTGGGGTCTGTTTGCCTTACAGCCAGCACACCATCTAGACTTTGCAGTAACCTGGGCTCCAGGAGCAGGAGCTTCAGGGAAGATGCAGGGCTTTGGAACCAGCAAGTGGCCTCCATCCCTCCTGCCTCCATCCCAACCCATCATGGCTGTGGCTCCTGACCCATTTGACTCTGGAAGTTACTGTCTGAAGGTTACCTGTGGTCACAGTCTCTACCTCCTTGTGCAGATGAAGTGAAGCGACACTCTCTCCAGCACTGATCACTGCACTGATCACTGTACCTCCTCAGCTCAACACTTAGGAGTCAGCGTCGAGTATGGAGAGGACAACCGCTAGAGAAGGGGCAAGAACTAAGCCCACCCCCCCCGCAGACCCACGCCCCTGCTGCAAGAGAGCCTTACTTTGAAACGCGTCCCTGTCCTTCCGTTCTTCAGTTCTCCCACTTGCGCATGTAAAGTGGGCTCCAAAATAGACGGCCCGTTTTCATTTCCAAACTGGTGACTATTTTTGTCTGTTCGGTTTGGGACTTCATTGTTTTCCAGTGCTGGAGTTGGAACCCAGGGCCTCACCTAGGCTAGATAAATGCTACACCACTGAGCCGGATCTCAACCCTGCTTTCTCTGTAACTTTGCACTCTGCCGAGATGGTGACTCTTGCCAACAAGCCAGAGACAAACCAGTCACAAACCTCTGTCCTGGCACTTTCAAGGTGTCCCCCTCCCCTGTACTGCACCCCAGAATGAGGCAGACTCTGATGGGCAGGACTATTTGAGACCAGGAAATGATCTCTTAATTCAGCCATTATTTAGTCTGTCATCATTTACAAAACCAACGTTACACTCACACCCCATTTGCTCCAAAAGCAATGGCAACATGCTGGGCAGCTTGTAGATATGTAAGTCAGTGGGTTGGCCAGACTGTTCTCAAGTGCTAGGAATGGAACTTTGCATGCACTCGGCAGGCAATGGGATGCACCCCCAGCCCTTACTGATATTTTAAGAATGATAGTGGCGCTCTGGGCACTGCAAGAACACACCGAGTGCTTGAGAGGCACAGGCAGGAGAATCAGGAGTTTCAGGAGAGTTTCAGAACAGCCCTGGTGCATAGTGAGGTCAAGGCCAGTCTGGGCTACTTGAGATCCTGTCTCCAAAAAACAAAATCAGGGGCTGGAGAGATGGAGCAGTGATTAAAAACACCTGTTGCAGCCCAGCGGCAGTGGCACACATCTTTAATTCTATAATTTAATAATATACTTTAATTCTCAGGAAGCAGAGGCAAGTGGATCTCTGTGAGTTAGAGTCCAGGTTGGTCTACAGGGCAAGTGCCAGGACAGACAGAGCTACACAGAGAAACCTTGTCTCAAAAAAATTAAAAAAGAACAAAAACTGAAACCAAACAACAACAACAAAAACTTGCTGCCCTTTCAGAGGGTGCCGGTCAGGGTTCCAGCACTCACACTATAGTTTTTAACTGAAACTTCAGTTCCATGAGATCCGATGTCCTCAACTGACCTCCATGAGCACCAGAAATGCATGTGGTACACAGACATACATGCAGGCAAAACACCCATACACATGAAAAAATAAAACACCTGATAGTGAAATAGACCAGCATGGGTGCATTGTAATTCATAAACAGTGTTTTCCTTATTTGGTCTTTGGGCAACTCTTTTACTGTTTCCTTTTTTTCAATTTTAGTAGGAATTTCAAATTTTTATTATTAATAATTAAATTTATTCATTTATTTTACATCCTGACCACAGTTTCCCCTCTCTCTTTTCCTCTCATTCTCCCCCCCCACTTCCCACCATACTATTTCCTTTTTAATTATGACGAATATTTACTGAGTGAGTTGCACATGACCGATGCTCTATGAGCTTCAAATACCCCAGCTCATTTAATCTTCATGCAATCTTATGAGGTACCACTCTATGAAGAAGCTGCAAATGGAGAGGTTAGCTGTCTTGCCCAAGATTCTTTGCTGATGAGTACAGAACGCTGTCATCTTGCTTTGAGGCCTTCACAATGCTCACATTTCCTTTCTCTGTGAATGCCTCACCTCTAAGACTTCCTTTATTAGTCAGCATCTTGTAGGCATCAGCCATAGGCCAGGCATAGACAGGGTATTAAAAAGACAGGTACTGAAGAGGAAATGGTGGTGTGGGTGAACTTACATCAGAGGAAACCGAGCACATCACATAACTTCCCAAAGGGCCAGCTGCACCCAACACCAGGCCCAGGCCTCTGCCTAATGCTGTGGTTCTAAGAGATGAGGTTGGCACACCCTGCTGATGGCACAAGGAAATAGGAGTGATGGTAGAAATCCCTCACCCTAGTCTGCAGGACAGCAATCTCTACTGTTGGACTAAGCTGCACCCAAGGGAAATAGAAGGCGGCTGCACAAGATGGCTTGGGAAATAGCAGAGAGGGACTTTTTTACCCAGATGGAAATTGAGTAGGCAAGGAGAAGCCTCTGGTACAGAAGGCTGGGACCCTCAATCCTAGGTATCCTCCAAAGTGTTATAGAGCTCACCTCAGGGTGTCTAAACCCTCAGTCATTGGTAACAGTTAGTCTTACACTTCTCAGTCCAAGGGATTGGGACCTTGAACTCTCAGTTCAAGATACAGGGGTTAAAAGTGGCAAGGATGAGCCAGATGTGGTGGCACAAGCCTGCAAATCTAGCAATGGGGAAGTGGAGGAAAGAAGACCCCAAGTTCAAGTGCAGTCTCAATTCTACAAACGCAGCTCAGTCCTGACTATTCCAGACCCTGTCTCAAACCAACCAGACAACCAAACAACCAGGGGGTACCTAAGTCAATAAGGTGCTTGCACCTCAAGCATGAGGATCTGAGTTTGGATCCCTATCATCCACACTAAAATCAGGTGTGGCAGGGCATGCCTACAATAAAATGGGTGTACAGAAAGTTCTCACTCAGCCGGGCGTTGGTGGTGCACGCCTTTAATCCCAGCACTCAGGAGGCAGAGGCAGGCAGATCTCTGTGAGTTCGAGGCCAGCCTGGTCTACAGAGCGAGTTCCAGGACAGCCTCCAAAACAACACAGAGAAACCCTGTCTCGAAAACCCCAAAAAAAAAAAGAAAGAAAGAAAGTTCTCACTCCTACTTCTCCCTGATGAAAAGGGAGAGGCAGGCAGATCCTGGGACTCAGTGGACAGCCAGTCTAGTCAAACTGGTGAGCATCCCATTGAGTGAGAGACCCTTTCTCAAACACACACACACACACACACACACTTTTTCTGTCAGCTTAGCAGCTGTGCCTGAATCTCCTGATATATTTTAACTACCTTCCAAAGTCCCACAGCCCTGCAGTCAGAACCCCACTACTCAGGCCACAACCTGGCAGGACTTCTTGTTTAGCTGATGTCACCAAGTATAATTTAAGTCTCTATTGTTCTATTACCAATAAAGATTCAGGAGTCAGATGTTGGGGTGAAAACCTACAAACTCAGAGAGGCTGAGAAGCAACTAAGTAACCTTCCTTTTTGGCCAGAGACCCAGGAAGAGAGTGTCTCTCCAGCAATCCCAAATCAAAAAAGACCTCAAAACTCCAAGTCACTCCTTATTCCTTCCTGTGCGTCTCTCTATCCATCTTCCTGGCTTCTTCATACTCCCTATGACTAATTTCTATTAACTAGTTGCTGGCCCCACACCCTGATCCAAGGTTGATTTTATTAACACCGTATTGGGTTTCACAGTACAACCAAATATCCCACAAAACACACACGCCTGCATGCATAGACACAGGCACATTCACATAAGTAATTTTTTTATAGCAAGGGTATTTAGCGCATACCAACTTCCAGATAAATGTCAGTTAAAGGGTACACTCTGGGTCTTTGGCTTGAAACATCACTTGTGTGATGATACTATTGCCCCAAGGTCTGAGAGACCCAAGCCAGAGTGAAGCCTACTCTTCACAGTGGACATTGCTTGTTTCTTCCAAGCAGAAATAAAGGCTTAAAAGGTAAGTGGGAAAGATTAAGAAGTGATTGAAAAGATGAACATGGGACAAGCCCCTCAAGTCACCTC